ATGTGGGGGCGTCGGGGGTTCGGGTTCTGTGGGGAATGCTGCTTGGGGTCTGGTCCAGTGTATGCCCAGCTGTCCAGCCATGCTGGGGCCTCTGGTGTGCTGGGGGGCCTCAGGACCTGTGGAGCTGGTGGGGGGGCATGGGCATTTACACCTTTAATTGTACCTGAGAGCAACACGCAACAACACTAAATTTGAGCTGGCGTAGGGAGGATCGGGGTCTTCTCACACCCCTGTTCTCCGGCTGCCACCTGGAGTCTGGGCCTGGAGGAAGAGCCAGCCGCCTGGTTCGTGGTCTTAAAACCCCTAAAACCCTTCCGGATTTTAGGTTCACCTTGAAATAGCCAATTATAATAGAAAATCATGCTAAAAGAAAAGCAGGAAAATAATAATATGAGAAAACTAATACAGTGTGAAACATTGGTTAAAATCCTTTTATCATCTTTTGTGTATTTACACTTTATTTGGAGGAATCAATATTCAGTGATTGTTCTGTTTTGGTAAAGAGAGAGCTGAGCCAAAAGGCAAAGCTTTTGATTTCCTTCGTTCCTACCATCACCTACGGCCAAGAATCCCAAATACAAGCAGCTGAAAATTAGCTTTCTGGAACTTCTTAGAAATAAGGTGAGGAGCCAACTGGGAGACGCTCAGAGTTCAGCCACTCCTTCCCAACATTGATAGCAGTCAGCTGAGGTAGCTAGGACCAGGGGGGATTTACCATTAGGCAGTACTAGGCAGTTGCTCGGGTCCAAAGTTCCTGGTGGCCCTAGGCAAATAGGGCTGGTTTTGTCCCTTGTCCTGTTGCTTTATTACCAACTACTATAAATGTGCAACTATAACTCTATGATAAAACTAAAATTAGATAAGTAAATGTGTTACAATCAAAAGAAAAATATTTTAGTTTAGAACTTACCTGTCCTCACAGGATGGTTGATCTGCAGGCCCACAAGGTCTATAGATTTTGTTTGATGGACAGTTGCTGGCTGTTGGTTGAGAACAATATATTTTTCTTAAAATTTACTACTGCTTACAATTAAAATGATTCATTAAGATATATATCTTTTTAAATACATTAATTATATACAAAGAAAAAAAATATTGTACCGCATTGGTCAGTTTGGCTCCTCCAATTTATGCACATTCCAATCTTAGCACAAGCAGCTGCATAAATCTCCAAAGTGGCGCATTGAACCGCCTGGCTGTGAATGCGGCAACTATCATAAGCACATCCTTTGTAAAAAGTGTCTGCAGAGATCCATTGACGGCACTGAGCGAAGACACTGGCGTGGAAGATAAAAATATAAGATCATAAAAGTAGGTAATAATTTACAGAAATTCATAAACTGAATTTAATGTAGAGCAAAACAGACCAAATAATCTATAAACAACCTGCTCAGAAGAAGATCACATATGGAAGATGAATTGCATGGAGTTGGTTCTGGAAGAGGTTCTCCTGGAGGGACACTTGGCTTGCACTCAATTTTATTCTTGTCACTTTCTAGAAGCCAGCTGTCGGCCATTAGAGCGCAACTTTCCTCTCCTTTGCCTCCCTGCAACCCGCAGTCATCCTTCTGATTATTGGTGCAAGTTCCTACAAGGATTATAAAGTGTCATTAAGATTAAAATCAAAGGTTCTACACAGATGTTGAGCTGTGAAGGAGTTCTTACCACATTGACCCTCTGTGTTTCCTCCGAAGTACTTATAAGGAAGGTTCACACTAAAGCCATTTTTTCCAAATGTTACAACCACTCTTAGACGAAGGATCTCTAAAGCAAGGTCAACGCCAGAACTCATCACCTTAACACCTTGTTCCCAAAATGGTAGCCTTAGATTTACTTCATTCTTGTAGGCCTGGAAATAAAATAGGGATATTAGAAAAGGATAACTAATTTTTTCCATATTTTGTTTAAAAGATGATTTTAAGTGGGTATAATCTTGTGTTACCTCCAATTCTGGCTGTCCAGTGAGATTAAAAATGGTGAGTTTGATACTTTGCTTTCCATAGTTTACAATTAAGGATCGACGACAAGAAACATCTCGAGTTGGATCACAACGGTTGTTGTCAATATACATTTCCAAGTCATGCATGGGGGAAATTTCTTTCATCAAATAATAAGAACAGTTTCCTTGGTAACCGTAGTATAGCCCATCAAATGTAATGCGATGGTCTCCCCAGCCTTTGCACTCACCTGAAGTGATACAAATTTCATGTTTATAATGTTCAAAGCAAAAACCCTTTTCTTTATTAATTGATCCTACACAACAGCATTATGACCACTGCCTATAGCCTAGAATAATGATGACATGAAAAAAAAGGATTTCTTTCAGTGTCTAGAAATTTAACAATGGTAGTAAATCATTTGAGATTTGTGATGGAAGGTTTTATATGAAATAGGTGGGGGCAGTTTTTTTATGAGCATATGCTAAAATAGGTAATATCTGCTCTCACAAGTGATTGTGGTTGTTTATTGAAACAGACAATATTGTGATTAAGTAGGTTAGCGCATTATTTTCTGTCTGGGGGGTTATAATGTTTAGTTTTGTTAATTTCTAAAAGATATTAATTAACTAACTTACAGTCACATTCATAATGTTGACAGCATTGATATTCATCATATTCAAGAACAGGACTTCTTCCATTAGTGCAGGTAATATTCTTTATGGATGGACACTCGTATGGCACTATTTGAAGAGTATTGTTTCCGACACATGTGGCCATTGTGCAGTTGCAAAAATAAAATGTCTCATTTTGCTGTAAAGGAGACAAAAATGGAAAATCAGTAGAAGGGAATTTAAGGAAATACAGTAACTGGATTTTAACCATAAAACCATTTAACAATATAAACATTTAAGAGTACAACATTCCACTAGTTAAATGGTAAGGTCTGGAGTCTTTTCAAAGAGTTTTTAAAAATTTTACTTACTACTTTATCCCATTTAGAACAATCTGATGAAGGTGTAATTGTACTTGATACAGCAGTAATAGAAGATGTTTCAGTTGTAGATCCTGTTGATGTGGTTCCAGTGGTAGACTCCGATTGTGTTGATGATTGAGTTGATATTGAGGTAGTAGTTAAAGTTTTTGTAGTTGTTGTAGGTTTTTCAGTTGTAGATTTAGTCAAAAGTGTTGTAGATACTGTGGTTGTAGTTGGTGATGTAGTAGATGTTGTAGCGGTTGTAGGGGTGGTGGTTGAAATTGTTGGGGTAGAAGTAGGTGTTGGAGTTGATGATTTAATTGTGGGTGTTGTGGATCCTGTGATTGTTGTTGACGATATGGTTGTAGACCCTGTTGATGTGGTAGTGATCAGAGTTGTTGAGATAGTTGGTGTATGTGTTGAAGTCTTAGTTGAGGGTGTTGTGGATTCTGTAGTTGTAGTTGGGGATGTTGTTGTAGACCCTGTTGATGTGGT